CACGAGACCAAATGCCACCAATTGAAAAACTTGTAAGCAATCCTGCTGAACCTTCTACTGTAAACGTCGATGGTAACATTCCACGAAGGTCATCTATTGACATCGTTGAGTCACTGTATTTAAATATTTTCTTAAAGCAATCGTCATTATCTAACCATGCAATAGCTTTGAAGTTTTCATTCGAATATACATCTGCTTCATTAAATGTAAAACCTGACTTCTTTGCAGAGATGACTTTAAAATCTATTGAGTTTGTTTCAAAATTATATGCTATGGTAACTTCTGAAGGTAATGGATGCCCTTCCGCAGTCAGTTGTTCTCTCACTACCGTTTGAAGCTTTGTGTTAAAAACTTTCATGTCATCTCCTGTATCTAAGTTCACATACACAGCAACAGGGAAACTATCTTGCTTCTTTGTTTCATCATTATACCTCAAAACATTAAAGTTCTTCAATAATATTGTTCTTCCTGCTGGAATACTTCGAACCTGTCTGATTTCAATAGCTTTCTCACCTCCTACATACTCTACCCAGTGTCTTGGATATTCATAAGTATACTGACTTTCTTGAATTTTGGTAGGTTTCATCATAACGTGTTCATAGTATATCTTTATACTCTTGTCAGTTAGACTCGGTGCTATATTCTGAATATTTCTGACTTGCATTTTTAATGGAGATAAAATGAAGCATTTAATACATGACGTAGATGAAGACATGAATGAAAGCAGTGAAAAGCTCAACAGTTCTCTTATTCTTCCTTTCAGCAAAGATTATGAGTTCTGTTCAAATGGTGTGTATTTCTATTGTGGAAAGATGGGTTCAGGTAAGACATTTAACCTCATTCGTCATATACTCATAACAGAACGTTTAGGAAATGACTCATATTATGACCAAATCATTATATCAGCAACTTCAGACTCTATGGACTCAACAGCGAAAACATTTATGTCAAAAGTTCAAGCCTCTGTCGTTAAAGTTCCAGACAGTGAACTCATTGAATTTCTTCAACGTTACATTCGACGTAAGAGGAAATATTATGCCATCGTTGAATTTATACAGTCAGGAATGCAAAAGACTTCTGAGGAGATGGAAAGAATTATTGACAAACACCACTTACGTCAGTACTCAGGAGTTTACGATATGAAACGACTTACAAACTACATTCTGTCAAAACTTTCAAAATACCCCTTCAAAAAGTATCCTTCAAACACTCTGCTCGTTTGCGACGACTTCGCCGGAAAAGGTTTAGTGTCAAAACCAGACTCACCATTAGCTAACATCATAACTAAAGTCAGACATTACCACTTAACTGTAGCAATACTTATGCAAACATGGAGGTTTTTTAGCTTTAAACATAAAACGTCTCATAACTGACTTCGTTATCTTTCAAGGTTTCTCACGCTATGATATTGAACTCATTTGGAAAACAGTCAGGTATAACATTACCTTTTGAAGAAATTTGGGAAGCATATAAGTCTCTCATCTCTCCTCGTTCATACCTTGAGATTCATATCATGACTAATACCATTAAAGTCAAAAATATTCCATGGGAACGACCAACATTGTTTTAAAGTTTAACCTTCAATTGACTGATGGTAAACAAATTCCATGCATCTCTGTCGCCATTTCTGTTAATATTTTTGCTGTCATTCATATCATCCACTTCTCCATCGTTAGCTTTTGAGGATATGCGTTAGAATAGCTGTTCTTAAATGAAGGCTTTTCACCTTTGAGAGCATAAACTCTATAACTTTCTGCATACTTTATGTTTGAACCTCCTGAGCCATCGTTGACATAAATTTTTATAGGCTTCCACCCTTTGTTCATGTTCCTGCTTCTTCCCTTAGCTCTTTTGTTCAGTAGTTCTACATCTTATACACAGCACCTGTCTCAGTGAATTCAACAATATTTTCATTCGTTAGCTTTACATTCAAACCCTTGTCGAGTATATTGTTCATTTCATACATATAAAAGGTTTTTATTCTATATGAAATGAGAAGCAAATCCATCTTAGCTGGTGCCGTTAATGTTCCAATTGAACCAACATCAAATGTTGACTCACGAACGACAAACAATATTGTCATAAAGAACTATAGTTCAGAGTGTTTGAAAGAACCAGAACCAGATCTTAAGTCGGGAGGGCTCAAAGAGCCCATCATGGCGCATGGCGCCGTGAATTTAAACACAGCTTCAAACGCTAACGCTACATCAGATGTTAAGTTAGAGTATCCACCACTGGACCAAATTCTTTCAAGAGAAGCCAACGACAACCCTTACACAAATGTTCAAACAAATCCTTCAGATAACGTAGACCATTACCTTCTTCAGTTATACCAAACAATTTTACTCAAAGACGATAAGAAGCTTTTGACAAATCTTATAAGTAAGAACCAAATAATTCTAACAAAGGAGGACTTGAAAATGTTATCTCACGAATAACAGGGAAACAAAGTGTCATTGACTATCTCGACCCTGAAATCGAATGCTGTGGTCAAACTCCACTATTCATGAAAATAGGTAACATCCGCATCATTGAAACACCAGGAACTACAGGAGTTGAGTTTAAGTATAAATATTCGAAACGAGTATACAAAACTATCTACTGACTATAAGCTTTGTTTGAAATATGTTTTAGTAAATTAAAGCAGTCAGGAGGGCTCTTTGAGCCCATCTTGGCGCTTTGCGCCGTCAGTCAAAAAAATTTCAAGTTAGCAATTTGTAATATCTGTCCAAAACTTCTTCAACAGTATCGAACTCATCTTCATAATGCAAACCTAATCTTATTGACTTGGTGGCAGTTTTCACTAACACAATATAGCGCTTTGCGCTCGGCGCCTTTGACGCCTTTTTCTGTTCTCTTGACTGACATAACTAACTCATTTGTTTCATCAAACAGCAACAACCAAAGTTCATGACCTAATACATAACATTCATACTTTATATTTTTAGCTCTGAGTTCTTTGTAAGCTGTTGCATTTAATATTTTCTAAAAAGTCAACTTCAACAGTCATTCGCACTGGTGCCTTCAGTTCTACAGGCTCTCCTTGAAAGTCAACAATCTGAATTGCATGTCTTTCAAATTATGAGGACTAATGCGAACCCATTTACCTAAATGAGTTGCTATGACAGGAACGTTTGGAATGAACATTGAATTGACTGCATAACAGAAGGATTATATTCTACTGAACCTTTACTATTAACTCCTGAAATGCCTGTGACATTAGCTATTTTAGACTCAATGTATAAACAATTACCATAACATACATATGGACAGATTTTCATCTCAATCGTTTTGTCAACACTTTCAAAGGAATGTCATATGGTATGCTCCTAAAAGAAGTTGAACTCTATGACTCATTCGTGTTATCTTGAACTCTTTCTTGCTACTGAACTTCAATGTTCCCTCAGAAGAGAGTTCGACATCTATGTTGTCAATAGTTTCTTCATTTATGAGAGTATCTATGACTCCAGCAATTTTATCTATTCTATACTCTGCTCTGTTAGGAAATGTTATAAAACTTCTTTTTGTCATCTATTTCAAACTCTATGAAATCTGTTTCATCTGTTATGACAAAAGTTGCGATAGTATCTGAAGTCAACAACTCTGAAAGCAAGCGCTTCATTCTGAAGACCTAAGTTTGTTTTGTAGCTTTACTGTCCCGTATTCGTTTGGGTCTGTACTTTGCAAATAGAACACATTTTATTCTCATTAAAATATGACTATTGCTGCATATGCGTATGAAACAAATGAAGCAAGAGAGCACATGAAAGTAAATGAAAACTCAACATTAACCATTGAAGGCAATGATTTTAGTCATTGACGATGGAAAAAACTAAAAAAGTCATTGATTTCGATACTTTTAACACTTATGACCCATTCATTACAACAAGCAAGGTTCCCATCATAAATGATGGAACGGTGCAATATATAAATTCTACAGTAGATGCCTCATTAGTGAAAGTATTAAATGTTCTCATTGAATTGTTAAAGAGCTTTCGATTTGACGACAACATTAAATGCCTAAAGAATTTAGTCATGAATGAGAAACAAATTCTCGGCGTTGCTGGTCGCAGTAATGATGTACACCTTTGACATTAGAATATTATAACGAACATAAAGATGAACTGAAAGGAGAGAAGGGTGACACCGGACCACAAGGAATACAAGGAATACAAGGAATACAAGGAATACAAGGACCTCAAGGCGAAAACGGTTTGGATGGAAAGGATGGAAAGGATGGAAAAACTGCTAAATCATGGATATGGGACCTTATAAATACTGGTTTAACAGCTACTTCATATGGAGTTCTTCAATACCAAATCGGAAAGATATGGGCAGTACTTGGTGAAGAAGCTTTAGATGACGTTAAAAATGCTTTGAACTTCATTTCAAATGGTTCGGATACTATTAAAACTTTATCTGGTTGGATGCAAGAAACAAGGAGTCAAATAGATACTGTAAGACGTATAGCAAACAATGCACGTACGGGATTGGATACTTTACGAGAAGCACAAAATACACTAAAGGAAGCAAATGATATTCTTGGCTCAGTATCAGACATGCATGAAGATTGGCTTAAAGGTATTGACAAATCTTTAAAAAATCACAGTCAGTCTATTGCTGACTACAAGAAAAGTATAGATTTTTTACATAGTGCTATGGACGTACATGATGGAAGCATAAGGAACTTACTTAATGCTAACAATAACTTACCAGGAACTATTAAAGCATTTATAAAGTCCTTTGTAAAACCCGGTGCTCTAACATTTAGGTCTTTGAGAGCAAGAGCATTGAAGTCAAGAGATGCAGAAACTCCAGAAGAACCACCAAAACCAACAGCTAATGAAATATTGTTCGAATATTTTCCAAGGTACTCTGTTCTCATTGCATACATTCAAGAAATACTTAAGAAAGCAGACTTGACTTTAGGAGATGATGAAAGTTCTGTATATCTTTCGTTCCAGTTTCAAATAGCAGAACTTTTGAGACAGATATGCTTAATGTATGACAACATCTCTGATTTCACAAGATATGATGACGACCATGACCCCGAACACGGTGAAGAAGAAGTTTTACAAACATCCATTAAGACAGGAAAGGTTTTAACTCAAAGTCTCATTATTGACACCAAAGATGGCGAAGTGGACGTTCTTCAAGAGCTGAAGAAAAATACTTCTTCGGGAGGTGGTGGTAGGCATGAACTTGAAATAAATGAGATAGAAGAGAAATTAGCCGAAAAAGCAGATAAAGAACATAAACACAATATCTCCGATATAAATGAACTTCAAGCTACATTAAATAGTAAAGCAGATAAAAATGAACTTGACGCAATGAACAAAGTTTTGAAATCTCATAAACACAACATCTCCGATATAAATGAACTTCAAGCTACATTAAATAGTAAAGCGGACAAGAACCATGTTCATTATATAACTTCAGACGAACAGATTATAACGGACTACCATGGATATTTAACACGAAGTGATGAAGCGAAGACAAAAAATGTTAATGAAAGAAGATATAAATACATTCGTGCTAAAGGTTATGACATAAGCTGTACTGTACAGTATGATGTAGCTAAAGCACCAGAAGCATTTGGTTATACCGGTGAAATTTATGCCTCTACTTTCAATGTTAACGGTGTATTAGTTGAACCAAAATTTACTTTGAGAGTTAAGGCAAAAATAACGTTTGAAGATGCTATTAAAAGTAAAGCTGACAAAGTTGAACTCGAAGCAATGAACAAAGTTTTGAAATCTCATAAACACAATATCTCCGATATAAATGAACTTCAAGCTACATTAGACAGTAAAGCTGACAAGAACCATACACATAAATCCTTCACTACTGTTAGAGCAGACGACATAATATTGAACTTTGACCTTGGTTCAAGTGCACCTTTAGAGAATCCAAGTACAAGCGTAAAAGATACTCTTAACAATTTAGATAAGAGTTGCAGGAACATTGAAAGTCATGCCAGAAACTTTGAAGCACATGAACTACCAGCAATGTTAGATAAGAAAGCAGATAAAACAGAGCTTCAAACATTAAAGACTCAGATTCTTGAAACATTATATCCTATAGGTTCTATTTATACGTCAATGAACTCAACAAATCCAGAAACAGTTTTAGGTTTTGGTACTTGGGAACAGATTGTAGACAAATTCTTATACTGTGCTAACTCTTCAAAGCAAACAGGGGGTTCGAAGAAAATTACTGAAGCAAACTTACCTGCGCACACTCATACAGGAACTACAAACTTTTCTGGCGACCATAGCCACTCATTAAGAGACCATCCATTATACAACTCAGAATATAAAGCTGGCAATGACGTTTTATCTCCATCTTATAACAATGCAGCAAAAAAGACTTTTCGACCAACTGAACCAGGAGGAAATCATGCCCATACTTTCACAACAAATCCAACAGGCTCGGGTGCAGATTACATGCCACCATTTGTGACTGTATTCGCATGGTACCGCGTTGAATGAACGCGCTTGAGCCTAGAATAAAATCTTTAACTTTACATAAATGAGCTTGAAAGAAGTATTCGAACAACATCCATGGAGGTCATTTAAGAAGTTCAATGAAGCTGCAAAGAGTTGGGGATTTACTAACAGAGCTGAAGTTAAAAAGTTCTTTGACAAAAATGTTGTACATCAAACAAAAATAAACCCTTACGACTACTTTTTACCAATTTACTCCATCACTCCCGACGCATACCAATTTGATACTCTCATTCAAAGCAGAAAAGGAGGACATAAACCATTCCTCATCTTCATAAATGTTAACACTCGTAAAGCATATGCATATCCAATGAAAAATAAAGGAACTCGTGAAGTTTTAAGAGTTTTGCAGACGTTCGTGGCAGAACATAACCCAAGTACTTTAACATCAGACCAAGACAGTGCATACCTCAGCAATGAAATCACAGAATTTCTCATTAAGCATAACATAACTCACTACACTACTGAAGACCATAACCATAACATACTCGGCATCATAAACCGCTTCATAAGAACGCTCAGAGATTTAAACCAAGAGCGAGACTTTACCGAAGAAACAATGAAACATTTTCTCGAAGTATATAATTCCTCAACACATTCTACAACAGGCCATACACCAAATTCAATGACACAACAACAAGAAGAAAAGTATATACAAAAGAAACGAAGCCAAACACAAAATATCAGAAATTCAACACAATTTACCCTCATTCCTGGTACAAAAGTTCGTGTAGTTCTTGACGACAAACCGTTGACAAAGAAACGTTTAATGTTAAGTCGAAATTATTATATCGTAGACTCTACGCAAGGTAATGGATATCTTATAAAAGCTGCTGACGACTCCATAGCGTTTTACCCTCGTCATAAATTAGTCGAAAGTAGTAATGGCAAACTTGCTGAAACCATTGACGAAGCAAAGCGAGGAGTGGTTATTGAAATACTTGGCTATAACACAAACGATGACACTTATAAAGTAAGATATGAAGGAGGCGTTGAAGATGTTATACCATCTAAGAACTTGAGAGAGTCGAAGCCAACACATCTGGGACCATTAGAGCGGGAGTACTGGAAAGACAAAAATATGCCAGAAAGAATAAGAAAATTCTTCTAAACTTTTTCATTAGATGTAAATCAGACAAAATATATTTTAGGTGAAGAGGTGAGATCTCACCCGTTTTCTCACCTGTTTTTTCACCCCGTGAATTTTCATGAATTTCCTTAAGATAGAAAAATAAAGTTAGTTTTATTTTTATTTATTTTTTTATTTTGTATAAAAGATATGATTTCAACAATCGGCACAACAACAATTCAAGCCGCGAACGGCGGGACTCTGTCCACAACAACAGCACCAAACTCGTTAGTCATGAATCCTACGTCAATGTTAGTAGAGATGAAAAACTTCATTCCTTCTTCATTTACTTTTGAAACAGAAATCCAGAAGATAAAGCAAGAACTTTTAACAAGTAATTTAGACTGTAGTGCGAAAGATGAAACAAATGAACAGTATCTTTATGAAATGCAGGACATTATTGACCATTTACCCAAATTGCCTGAAATCCAACAGCAAAAACTAACTATTCCTGAATTCGATGAAATAGAAGTCAAAGCAACTGACTCGGTAGAAATAAAGAAGTTCATACGTAAAGTAAATTATGAATTCCTTGGTTTTCATTGCAACCATAAGGTTATGGACAAAGATTGCGACATGGTTTATAAAAACATTTCTGACATATATAAATCTGAAGAATTTAAGACTTACGATAACTTTGTTTCATTAGTTGCAAAATGTGTTTGGGAAATAAGAGATAAAGATAGAAGAGGTAAGGTATGGAATGAACAGATAAAACCAGCAGCTTTTGAGATGAAGAGAGCAATTGACGCTTTAGTTGTTTTAGCAGGTAAGGTTTCAGAATATAACGCAAAAATGAACCCACAATGTTCTAAATGTAAAGCAGCAATAAGGAAATATAACTATTCTGTCAAAGAGATAGAAAGAATGAGAAACGACTATGCAGATTTAAAGAAAGAAGCAGAAAAACCAGCAGAAGATAAAATGGACATGTTAGAATTTCTGAACAAAAACTATCCAACTGCTGACGATTTCCTTCTATCTGACGTCAAGAAGAAGTATAAAGAAACTTTCGGCATAGTTAAAACATTCGATATCCTCAGCGAAGAAATAGAAGCTACGAAATTGTTTAGAATTTCAAATATACATCGTACAATTCATGTAAAACGCTTGTGAAAAAACAGGTGAAAAAACAGGTGAAAAAAAAGGTGAGATCTCACCTCTTCACCTAAACATTATTTTTGCTGAATTCAGCAACAAAATTCTGAGTAAAATAATTTTTAGGGCATGTGTCAAACCGTTGAGTTTTCACAAAATTTAAAAAATAACGTTTACCATGTAAAACGCTTGTGAAAAAACTGGGGTGAAAAATTAGGTGAGAAAACAGGTGAGATCTCACCTCTTCACCTAAACATTATTTTTGCTGAAAAATGACCAAATTTCATGAATTTCCTTAAGACAGAAAAAATAAAGTTAGTTTTATTTTTATTTATTTTTTTATTTTGTATGTAAGAACAGAAATGACAAACATTGAGTTTGAAACAGTTAGAAAGATAGACAATGACACCAAAGTGGTTAGAATAGGTGATTTAAACGTAAGATACTCAAAGAAATACAACAAATATTCTTTGTCAGACATTATATTTCCATCTGGAAAGAAAACACACGACTGGGTTAGAAATGCTTCAACTCAGAAAATTTTGACAAGAAATCCTGAGCTTATGATATCGGTAAGATTCTATGGAACTACAGCATATCTCATCGACAAAAGTCTTATACCAATAGTTTTGTTATGGTTAGACCCAGTTGTTGGATATAACTTCATAACATATGGTTCATTCGATACGGAACGTTGCAGTGAAGGCTTACTTTACATCGTTCAGAAACCGAAGGACTTCAACACAAAGAGATATAAGATAGGAAGAACATATAATATAACTCAAAGATATGACAGTACAGTCAATAGAGTCAAGGTTGTGTTCGTTAACGATATGAGAGCTGCAGAAACAGAACTACTTGAAAAGTTTGAGAAAATGTATGGTGCTCCCATAAAAGGTAAAGAAACGTTTGAAGTAGATGAGATAGATAAAGCTATAAAATTATTTGACGAAGTTGCTGAAAAATACATGTAAAGCGTTTATTTTTGGTCTTTTGTGAAAGTCAGAAAATAAAGTTAGTTTTATTTTTATTTATTTTTTTATTTTGTATGTAAAGACAGATATGTCAACAACAGAGAACACAACAACAGTTATAGTCCATGAAGCTATAAATGAAGAATACGAGTGGGTTCAGTTTAACAAACAACTCCGTCTCATTCGTTCGGTCAAAGACGATATGTACCAGATGCAAAGTATTTTGACAGCATGTTATGCTCCAGATACTAAGCTTCCTAAAGACTGGTTTAGGAACCAAAGCACACAAGAACTTTTGAGCGAAGCACAGCGAGACATACTTTTTTCTGAAAACAGTGAAGAACAGCGAGTAGGTAAAAAAACCCAGTCGCCAAAACTCTATGAAAATCGTGAAAAATTGCCAAACGGTTTGAGAGGATATTATGTTCATAGACTTCTCGTAAATGCTGTAGCAATGTGGGCTTCACCTCGTTATGCTTGGTATGTTTGTAAACTTCTTGACGAAATTCACAGACAAGAACGCGAACAGATGGAAAAGAAACTTCAAGCAAAAGATGAAGTCATTGAATCCAAAGACAAAAGCATACAGAAAAGAATACCGCGTTCAGTACCAAAAGGAAAGGAAAAGAGTTATAAGTATATGATATATACTGAAGAGTTGGAGAAAGAAGAAGACAGAGATATGGTTATGTTGCATTTAGTCAGAAGAAACAACAAAAGCTTTTATGACCTTGCTAAGATTTACAAATCTGACAGAAACTGGTTCTATCGTGAAAACTTACCGATTTCAATGACACCGAATGAGCAAATAAAGGAAATTGTCAAAAGTACTCTTCCTCAAACACACTATGACATCAAAGGTTGCACAATACTTACATTCAAAGAAGACTTACCATTGTTAAAGGAAAAAATAACAGAGTATTTCGATAACTTCAAAGAGGAAGAATGAAAATCTAAGCTAATTTTATTTTTTTTATAAAATTTTATCTCATATGAAAGAACATGAATTTAGAATATTCGGAACTCATGACAGAAGAAGAGAACGAACAACATGTAAAAGATTATGCAAAATTTCTGAAGACATACAAAGCATTTAAACAATATCTAAATGCTTCTAAAGATTATGCAAAATTTCTGAAGGTATATAAAGCTTATGAAAAAGCGTATGAAAAGTTTATACATTGGGGAATTGTTGTAAAATATCCATATGAATACTAACCAAAAATATATTTTTGCTTAAATAGCTTCAGGGTCTATTTCTTCAACCATTTCACTTCCTTCGTCAATGTCAATAGAAGCTTCTTCAACCTTTGGTAAGAATTTCTGTATAACATCTTTGTTCGTTATTGTCTTCAGAGATGAAGGATAATATTTCACATTTGTTTCACCCTTCTTATATTCTTTCTGTTCGGAAAGATTCATAGCAATACTGAAGAAGTCAATGTTAGAGTTCTTTATGACAGTATAATGAGTATCTTTGACATTCACGAAGAAACTCTTTTGTTTCAAAACTACTGCTAACTCTTGTGAAGTATAACGTTTGCGGTCAATGACAATAGCTAATGGTCTGACATACTGACCAAACTTAGATTCTTTCACAAACTTCTTGTTAAAGATAACATTAACGTTTGAAGCACCATTGAACTCATTCTTGATGGCATTAGCGAGAGCATTGTATGAAAAGAACTTGCAATCTTGCATGTGTTTCATTATAATAAAAATATTAAATTATTTTGAAAAATAACTTAAAATCTAATCTAATTTTTTCAAAAATATTTTTTTTTATTTCCTACTAAAGATGTATCGGAAGTTGTCTAAGTTAGAACACTCGGAAATAAAACAACTTCTTACAGAAGCTAACATAGATGTTGCAAAGCATTACGCAACAAACAAAAAAGCACTCGCTGACTTCATTAAAGACTATAATGGTGCAATAAGTTATGATAGAATTCATGAGTTCATAAAGCCGCAACGCGGCGAGGACGAAGTCCATGCAATAGCATTTCCTTTAAATGACGTTGCTATTGACTTATATCATAGACGTTCAGTACCTCATGAAGTAAGAAGAGAAATGTTTGACATAACAAATGCAAACGTTGGTCATACTCGTAAAGCTCTTTCGCATGATGTTCGTCAAGAGATGTTTGACATAACAAATGCAAACGTTGGTGAAACACGAAAGAGAGACGACACACTGAAACAACAGAGAAGAGAGATGTTTAAGCGCTATAGAACAAGTTCGCAAAGCTAACGATGTCATTCGTTCCATTGACGACAAACCAAAAGAAGGTGAGAGATGGTTAAAGAAAGATGAAGAGAATAGGAAGAGAAATGTGAAGTCAGGCAATAGACTCATTGACTTTAACATCGAAGCTTTAGATGAACCAAACAGAGACTACTTACACAAACATTTCGGTAAGGTTTTCATGAGACTCTTAGAGAAGATTAAAATAAACTCCCAACAGAGATGGATGGTATGTTATAAACTTGGTGGAAAGTATGAATGTTCTACGTTAAACCTCAATAATATTGGAACATACTACATCAGCTCTTGAAGGAGAACTTTATATCAGAGATAGAAGCAAATGCTGCAGGTATTGTTGAAATGCACTATGACTTCTTCTTGACAAACATAAAGAATCTTACTGAAATAAAGATGTATGATTTAACAGAATATGAAGGCTTAACGATGTCAGATGTAAAGAAAGGCAAACCAAAAAAGAGACCATATAGAGATGAAAGCACACTGACAAATGACCAGAAAGCCATTTTGGAAGCTCTTAAGCAAACAGGAAACCCAGCACTTATAGAAAGCTTTTGGAAAGATAATGGTGAAAAGAAGTTTTATAAGAAGAGAAGCGGTCAGTTCTGGAAGTATCTTTGCACATTACCTATAAATCTTGAACGCTACCAAATCTTCAATGAACTGAACAAAAGAACTGCAACACTTATGACAGAGACAATTGTTTCGTTTATGCTTGCATTCAGGCTGGAGTAAATGAAGAAACTATTGACCACATGAGAGAAGTCATTCGTGTTAGAGACTTTCCTCAAAGTAAAGTACAAGAAATTTCCGAACAGGTATAGCATTTAATGTTACCATTGGTTATTTCAATGACTCAAGACATAATGAAATAAAGAGATACATACCAAAAGAATGTAAACTGTTCGAACTATTGACTTACTTCTTGTTGAAGACCACTACATGCTAAACGAAAGATTACCAATGACAACATATTTCATTCGCAACTATATAGAAATTTGAAGGAGTGTGGTGGAATGAACATTGAGAAACAAATGAAGATTTATACAAAGAGAGAAGATAAATATGTAGTTCGTTATGATAGAACAACACCGTTATGGGATGTTATGAAAACATTGTGGGAGTGCAAATATTTCGAACCTATTTCTTATGGAGAACTTTTCACATATACGACTGACTTATATAAACAGAACCTTGCACCATTTAAAGATTTGACATATGCTCCAAAGTATTGTGTACAACTGAAGAAGAAAGCAGAGTCAAAAGAAGTAAATAAAAATAAGTGCAAGTTCATTCCTGAGCACGTTTTCTTTGCTGACTTTGAGTGTAGTACGATGGCTTTCATAAAGCTTTTAACATCTGTTATGACAGTGAAGATGGTTCAGTGAGTGAAAGCATTTGGGGTCAGAACTGTGCAACAGAATTTTTGGAACGACTTCCTGACAAGAGTTTAATATATTTCCATAACCTCAGTTATGATATAAACTTCATCTTAAGACACATGACAGAAGTGAAAGGAACTCCCATCATTAAAGGTTCACGAACAATGCAAATAACTGGCTTATATAAAGGAAGGGCAATTATTATAAAAGACTCTTACAGTGTTATAAATAAGAAGCTTAAACTATTTCCTGCTATGTTTAACTTACAAACAGGACCGAAAGAAGTATTTCCATACAACTACTACAGCAGTGTTTTGTTAGCAAATGACAACAGAACTGGTGTCATTTCTGAAGCATGTAAGTTTATCCAGGATGCAGATACATTCATGAAGAACATAGATTCCATCAAAGGTTGCAGAATAGATGAAAACCACTTCGACTTAGAAAAATATAGCACATTTTATTGCAAACAAGATGTAAGAATTTTAAGAGAAGGTTTTGTAAAGTTCCGCAATGACTTATTGAAAGAGTTTGATTTAAACGTTTATGACTACGTTAGTATTTGTTCATTGCTAACAAATTATTTGAGAACAGAGTATACTTCCCGAATGGAAATCTTTATGACCTCTCAAATAAACCAAGAGAATTTATTTCACGCTGTATTCAAGGTGGAAGATGTATGCTGTCAGATAACATGAAACAAAAGAGCGAAAAGAAACTCATTGCTGACTTCGACGCTGTTTCATTATATCCATCAGCTATAGCAAGACTTTATACTTTAGAAGGAATTCCAAAGGTTATGAAGGATGAGATGCTAAGCACAGAGTATCTCATGAGACATTTATTCGATGACGACCAAAAGGAACCCATTGGTGAAAAGTTTATGTCTGGTTTCTTTGTTCTCATTAAGATAACAGAGATTGGAATACATAGACACTTTCCTTTAATAGTTTGTGACCCTGAACTAAATCCAGAACTTAACGTTCCAGAAGTTCAAACACTTGCTGTTTAATGTATGTTGACCATATAACATTACAAGACCTCATAAAATATCAAGGTGTCAAATGTGAAGTGTTGCAAGGATACTATTACGATGGAAACAGAGATATTAGAATAAGAGATGAAGTAAAGAAGTTGTTTGAGTTAAGGTTAAAGTATAAGAAAGAAGGAAATCCTTTGCAAGAAAATATAAAGCTCATTCTGAACAGTATTTATGGCAAAACTATTCTATCTCCTATTGAGTCAAAAATAACCATAGTAAATGACAAAGATGCTATAAGATATGCCATCAGAAACTACAACCATATAGTGAAGTTCGAAGGTTTGGATGGTTCAGATAAAACTATTTTCAAGCT